TAGCTAATGAAGGGCCTCTAAACTTCAAAGTATATTTAGGAATGAACCTTATTTAATGTGTTCTTTTATATTTCATATTTTGCTTCTTCTATGTATATTTCGACGTCAGGATGAAGCATTTTCCAATTTCTAACTTCCGAAAATTGCTGATTTTATCCACCTTACACCTGCTCTTATTACTACTGCTACAAGCTAACGTTTACTTCTCACATTATTCGGATGACAATATTATGAAATATCCCTTATATTTTATTTCAGGCAAGTTCGTGATCTCCACCAGAGTGCGTGTGGGTCGTAGCCTTGAAGGCTTTAATTTTCCTCCTACAATATCAAATGCAGATCGTCTGAAACTTGAGAAAACGATATCAGATTGTCTCAAAGGCCTATCTGGAGAGCTTTCTGGAACCTACTACCCGTTATCAAATATGGACGCTTCAACAATGCATCAACTGATTGACGATCATTTCTTATTCAAAAATGATGACTCGTGAGTGTTACAAATTGACTTCGATCATCTCCTTTTTTCCCCCAGCAATTCTCATGATGGCATTATCCATCTTATATTCACGCAGGCATTAGGGTAGCTTGGATTGATAGTTCCTGTGATGACCATTAAACTGTCTAATGAGCTTCGGATTACAGCAACAAAGCATGATAAATGGGCTAGTAAAGCCACTGACTAATTTGCAGACGAAATATGCCGCACTTATTCGTTGATAATACAACAGCATATCGAGTCTAGATCTGTCTGGATATAAATTTTTTATCCAGAATCTCCTGTCTTCACTTTCCTTTATTAATTGCTGTATTAAAAATGCTGTTCGTGCATGCTTTTACTCGATACCTAGTATGCCTTGCCTTGCAATCAATTAATCATCACCTTCCCTATCTAAAATTTGCCATTACATTAATTTATGTTACATGGCGACTATTTTCCACTAGCTATTCATGTTCTTTTATAAGGTTTCCAGACAATTCTTTAGTTTTTATCTACACTTACATCTCGACAAAAATAATTTGGCACAATTTTGATTAAGATCAAATCCACCTGGTGCCAATGTGATTAAGTTATTCTCATCCAGTAAAATCTAAGATTTGGATCGGAACTTGTCTATTTGAGATACGAAGAGAAACTGGGTTTCGATGATTCTCCTGAGATAACATCGTTAGGGGGTTTGTCATTTCGTATGAAAGTGAATGAAGAAGAGATTCGTTGTTCGATATCGCCAGATGAGGGCGGAAAAATCTCGTTATACTGCAGCCGTTTGGCTTTTATACGATATTCATGTCATAATTTTGCCGTCATGCCTTCTTTAAAAAAAGAAGTGGGGCGTAAAAACAGTGTTCAAAGAAACCCTCACACTTTCCTCTGTTATGCCAAGTTTTAGAGAGAAATATGACCCATTATCGAGATCCGGCTGCTACAAGATTGTTTGCTCATGTGGTTGATGT